TCATACACAATATGTATTCTGAATCTTACACTTTCAAAATCAAATGAATGCAAACACAAATAAGAAAACACTAGATTCATTGTAACACTTCCAGTCCTTCTCAGCTCAATTAAATAATATATAATATACTACGCACTTGAATTCTCTTAATGCACAGGTGTTAGTAAATGTGTAATATTCGAGGCTAATGGTAAGCCTTGAGCCATTTTTTCGGATGTAAAGAGCGATAATATGCTGTAAACTTCAATCCAAGATATTCACATGCGTGCTAAAAATCGCGAAAGTGAAATGTCCAGCGATTAATTAAACTCATAAAAACGAAAGCATCTACGAGATTTTCTACTATTATGCCATACATTTATAACTGCGAAACAAAATGCAAATTAAAACATAAAAACTTTACGCTCACATTCATGCATGAAGATTTAGCTTCACAAGAGCGATAGAAGCTCATTGGTCTATTTTCGAAACTCCTCCCTCAATGGCTACGCTGATGTGCACTTGTGAAATATGCGCACCGGAGCCCTAAATAAGATGAGCTGCGTACTTCTTTTTTATAAAACTGAATCGCAATTTAAAGGGAACAAAATTTAGAATTCCTAAGGTTTTAGTTTAACAATAAGCAGACCTTGCAATACTCTATTTTCCTAGAAATACGATCTCATGATAACATGAGACGTTCAAGTAAAGTCCCCTCGCACATGCATCTTTTAGCTTTCTTCGTGAAGAACTGAGTGCGCATTGTACGGCAAATATACTTAAAAATTAAAAATTGTAGCTTGAAATTACAGATGAGCGTTATACGGCGGGGCACGTTTTACGCTGGAAAACACGGTACTTATAAATTAAAATCTTATTTGCAATCTTCATATATATTTTATATACATATAAGCGGCTTAAGTGTTTGTCGCCGATAGTTTATTGGTTTGCTTGCGTAACTGTAAATTGTTTTATTCAACGTGCAGTGCAGCGCGTGACGAATATTATGAGAAAGCTAAGCCGGGAAAATTAAAAATACAAGAGCACGTGTATTTAACATGTAATAAATAAATTTAACATCCATATATAATAGAATTCGGAAATATGCAACCGACAAAAACCGGCAACGATGAAAAAACAAATATCTTTATTATATGCGGCTTAAGTGTCTGTTTGTCACCGATACATTATTGGTTGCTTGCGTAACTGTACTAGCCAATGGGGTGAAGTTGCCACGGCACAGGGTTGCTGTTTTAATTGAGACGTAGACAATTCCCTGTAAAACTTGCCTTTTTGCTATGACCATCAATAAGTCTCAGGGCCAAACTATGACGATATTAATGATTCCAGAAGAATTACTTTGAAAAAAATGAAAGCAAGTATAATTGAGAAATTGGCTCGGGAATGGAACGGTTCAAATAAAAATAAGGGTTGCTTGAGGATTTTGACCATAAAAAGAATAATGGATCTATTTAATAATACAGATGCTATTCAAGTTATCACGGATCGTGGTAGATTTCCGACCTATTTAAAACGTTTTAATCTCCAGGACAATGATCAATGCTTGGCTTGCGGGAAGTACGGAAATGCAGCTCATTTTATGGAAGAATGTAAACTGACCGAGAGTGTGAGGACGAGATTTGGAAAAATAAATGAACAGAATGTAACTTAAAAAAGAAAATTCTTGAATAGCTATGCAACAGAAATTATGAGGATTGTGAATGAATACAAGCCTATCATAGGAATAGGACATTAAATATTTTAGTTTTTCTTTTGTTTACGAGTTTATGTCTTGGGTGAGTGAGTTATGTGTCGTTTTACTGTTTTCTGTTTTTTAACCGATTATGCTTATGGTTTTCCTAATTTTGTATTGTGTAAGTGTATTTTTAAAGATACACAATCTGTGTTAATCTGTTTAATCTGTATTTTAATCTTTTGTTTTTATCTTTTAACTGTATTTTTGCTCGTCTGCTGCGTTAACCATGTGTGTTAACCATGGAGTGTTATCGGCTAAGAGGGTTGCAGCATACTCGTAAACTAAACTAAACTAAACCCAGGGCCGAGACTGCCTAGGTACAGATCCTAACCAGTAGCATCCCAGGTTTTACCTGAGTCGACCCCCCCCCATAGAGGCGTTAAAATAAAACAAGAATTTTGATGTTCGGACAGGCAGCGAGAAGAACTGCTTGTTTTAGCGATTACCCGGCGCCTTTGTGATTCGTTGCCGTCGTGCGCCGCACGAGCTTGCTCCTATTGTTGGCGCGAGCCTGGTAGTGAGTTCTGCAATCAATAGATTATCACGGCGTTTCAGTGGAGGTGAGGTTGATTAGAAAGTACCCAGTATGATTCCTTAAGTATAGACCAGTAATGATGGCGGTGCTACTTTGGTAGACGGTTGCACGGATTTTTGGTGATTTAGTTTGGCGCAATTGTTGGCGCGGTTTTTACAGTCGTCAGCCATCTTAAAAAATACTGATTTCACTCATAGTAAAGTATTCGAAACTTTAAAAAAATAAATATCATTAAAAATAATGGATTAATTTTTTGTTGAAAATGTTGTTCTTTAAGATAGCTGGCAAATGTAAATAAATACATTTACTAAGAGTATAAAAACTAAATAAGGTTAAATTATTACTTTCATATAATAGAACAAAAACACCGCTATAAAGACATTGCGTCAACATTTAATTGGAATATAATATTATTTAAAATGAATATGAATTTAAAACATCATGCCAACGTTTAAAGAATTAAAATTTTTCAATTACTTAAATTCAAATCCTTTAAAATAAGTTTTATAGGATATAATTATTTAACATTAAAACATATGTGGCAATAAGTATCTCAGGAATTTTTGAAAAACAGTGTATTAATTTTCTAATAAAAATTGAAGTATACAATTATAAAGTAAAAGAAAAATATGTACTTATATTTTTTTTAAAGTATCTACCTGTCGTATATTGATAAGTACCAAAAAAAAAAAAAAAAAAAGATAAGCGAGGTTTCCTCCAAAAATTTAAAGTAAATTTCCCCTGACCCTTGTAACAATAAATAAATCTTTGATTAGGAAAGCCAGGTTGGCCAAAATAAGGTCTTAAACAGTAGTTTTTTTATTCCGATACCAATAATTCTTGGTAATTACCAATAACATCATTCATCTTCGAAACGGACACATCCATTCGCTTTGAAATCAGAGAAATTCGAAGAGATGAATAATAAAATTTTAAAATGGCGCGGTAATGCACAAATATTAGGTAACCAATCAGGGAGCTGATTACATCACGTATAGAATTAAAATTATTTAAATAATCATTCATAATAAAATCATTTTTTAAAAATGCAAAATTAAATTGTATTTTAATAGTTAACAGCCATAAATAACGTTTAAAACATCAGATTAAATTTATAGATATTAAAAAAAAACCAATTACTTTTAAAATAATGTGTGACGTCATTCATTGCACCATTCCAAACATAAAATTCCATAAAAAATATTATAAAAATAAAATTTTTATTTCAAATAAAAAATGCAAAATTAAATTCATTTATATTATTTAGAAGTCATAAATAATATTTAAAGCACGGAATTTATGTATAATAAAAGGCATTATTTATTTAATAAAATGACAACAAAGTATCGGTTACCATAAATAACTTGTCCAGTAATGGGTTTACCATAAGTCGTATCGCTCGCCAATAAAATCGCCAAAAACTCGCCAAAATCCGTGCAATCACCAAATTAGCACGAAGATGGCTCCTTATACACTGACTACCAATAAGTATTTGGACACCTATGCAAATGACGATATCTGCAGTCCTAAGGTACGTCACGGACTACGCCCGTATATATCGTGTAGGAAACAGCATCGGCTTTAGTCGCATGCAAGATGCCTTGCAGTTTGGAGCTCTCTGATTTCGAGAAAGGTATAATTATCGGGTATCACAAATGTGGCCGATCCTTAAGGGACATATCTAGCGATCTGAAGTACCCAAAATCGACAGTGGCCTATGTGATTAGAAGTGGAAGGTGAGCGGTGATTGTCGCAATGTGCCCGAGTCGGCAGACCAACGACGAAACTGGAGATAGAGACGACGAGTGCTATCCAGAGAAATTCGGAAGAACCGCACCCAACCGATGGCCCTCATCTGCGAGGAGTTTCAACAGGTGTCCGGGAGTATTGTTTCAATGAATACCATCCGTAAGAAAGCACATCTGCTTGATTTTCATTGTCGTGCTGCTGCCCATAAGCCTTTGATCACAAAGTCCAATCGCGCTGCTCGGTTAATGTGGTGCAAAGCACATCGAAATTGGACTGTAGATCAGTGGAAACGGGTTCTTTGGAGTGAAGAATCAAGGTTCAACCTTTATCGTTTGGATGGCAGGGTCTGGGTCTGACGTCTACCTGGAGAACATCTCCTTCCAGAATGCATTGTGCCAACAGTCAAGTTCGGCGGAGGTGGAATTGTGGTCTGGGGTGTTTCTCCTGGTATGGGCTGGGACCCTTGGTCCCCATTCATGGTAAGCTCAACTCCGATGCCTGTTGCACTATTTTGGATGACATAAGCTTCCTACATTGTGGCAGTTTACGGGTTGGACCCTGTTACTTTCAGGACGACAATGCCAGTTGTCATGTTTCGACGTTTACCAAGGCTTGGTATGGTGCCAATGGAGTTCATAGAAGACTGGCCTTCCAGATTCCCAGACTGAACGTATCGAGAACCTCTGGGATGAGCTGCATCGCCGAATTCAGGAGTGCACTACCCGTGCAAAATCGGTGAAGGAACTTCTATGTCTTTTCCAAGCCGAGTGGAAGAAAATACCACTAGCTGTCATACAAAGATTTGTGGAAAGTATGCCCCGGAGGGTCTACGCTGTAATTACCTCTCGTGGAGGCTCTACCAACTATTGATTTTGAATAAAGTTAGTTTTTCTTTTCTATCACAGGTGTCCAAATACTTATTGGTAGTCAGTGTATTAGTAGCCTGTTCATATAGAAAAAATCCATGGGTATAAATCTTACCTTCACAGTATGGTGTATCTCCGGACCATCCATTCTCACTGCAGAGCCTCCAGCTATCACCAATTAGTCGGTAACCTTCATTGCACACATACGTGATCTCGAAGTTGTAGGGAAAAGCTTTCATGTTGGTAGACTGTAGCTCCGGAATAGAGCCATTCACAAGTGGCTCTGGTTGATCACAAAAGATCTCTAAAAATTTTAATTACAAAGAAAATAACTGTTGATGATGACTTGAATTCATTTTTAAAGAAAGCAGGAAAAGTATATTTTAGAACAGTGTAAAAAGATTTCACAGGTAACAAAAAGGACATAATATATGGACTACTCGTTTATTCCTGTTTCTGTAATATCGTTTCAAGCATCATAAACAATAAGCTAAATAGTTAAGAACAACCTGCTGGATCGCGAGTTCCATTGGGTTAGCTTTTACATAGTTTGAATATTCTCGGAGACACTGCAGGTTCAATTCCTGACCAGGGATACAGCTCTTGAACGGTGGAAACTCTTTCTTCAATTTGTTGCTCCACTGCAGAAACTCTTTCCTGAATTTTTCCAACTTTGTCTTCAACTGAGTCTATTCTGCCTTCCATAGCCTCGAATTTGGTCTCTATTATACAGGCAATTTCTCTTTTCATTTAGTCTTGACCTGCTTCAATCTTTTCTTGTACAGCTTTTATGTCTTCTTTAAAAGTTACTTGACCAGCTTCCAACTTTTCGTGAACGGATTCCTGTCCCGATATCATTTCCTCTTTAACAGATCACATCTCTCCTTTAACGGAATCTTCCATCTTTTCCTGGCCAGTTTCATCTCTTCTTTCATCTCATCATCATTCTCATTCTCATCTTTCTTGTTATTGGCATTCAAATCCCACTTCTGACACCAAAAACTGTTGCGTGCGTACGGGTTTCTTACGAAATGAATGCACAAGTCCGATGAAAAATAAAGAAAATTTATTATTATCACAACAAATATGATTAAATGTCCTCAAATAATCGTGCAGTTTTAGAATATCTCACAGTACTTATCTTAACTACTCAAACGTTCAAGAGAACTTAATTCAAAACAGCTAAAGAAAGCTAATCCGGGAATTTGCTACAGTCAACAAGAGCTGTTTCTAAACAAACTCTTAAAACAACAACAAACTAAGTAACTAACTAACTAACTGAATTAAGAGGTTTTCCTCCTTTTTATAAGATTTTTAAATCGCGCGCGAGAACTTTCTGGAACTTTCTTGAAACCAAAAATAGATATTTATTAAATGTTACACGCACCCGCTCTTATATTTTCAATTTTCCGGCTTAGCTTTCTTTTAATATTCGTCACGCACTGCACTGCGCGGGAAATAAAACCATTTAATTTACAATTCAACTAACATTAGCTATTTAAATACCAAATCCGTAACACTATTTATCTGAAATGCTTGCTCATTTTATCCTTTATTTATTTTGATTTTATATTGCTTACATTCCTATATTAATTTACTTTCGCCTTTTAATTATTTTTTAGGATTTTTTTTCCGCATCTAATACATTAGTAATAATATTTTTTCCCTTCGTAAACTACGATTTTTAGCCATCAAAAGCAGATTAGTTAACTAGGGCGTTTCTTTAATTTTAATTTTGTTTGCTGAAAAGCATATTCGCTTTTCTGGCAGGCTTTTAGCCAAAATGTCCAACATTGTTAGGTGAAAAAATAAGGATATTAGAGATAAGGCTTTTAACATTTTTGGCTTATAATTCGCTGTACGATTTGGAGTAATATTGGTATCTAGAGTTTTTTAATTTTTTAAATTTTTATTTTTGTTTTAATGCAGTAATGTGCTTTTAATTTTTGTTCCTGTCGAGATCATAATTCGCGCTGGGGCACATTCTTGACCGTTTGAGAATGTGCAGTGAAACATTCCGTAGAGAAACAAAAAATTTGAGGGGGAGGTGTTTTGTTTCACTTAAATATTAGTCGAGAAGGACGTTTCCAGAACTCCTTAATTGTACTTGTTTAATGTTTTAAATAATTGCCTCATGATGAGTCTGTTTTACATATTGAACTATGACTAACTAATCTACAGGTTTTTAAATTTTTTAAAAATTTTACGGAAAATTACTTTTATTTATTTTGCTTAATTTTAATATCTTCTTACCTTCTTGATTACTTAATAAATATTTTCTAATTAAAATTGTTCTTTCCACTTTCCAGGCTAGTATAATCTTTAATGCATGGTACTATTCGGTTTCGATGGCCGTAAAAAATCGCCAAACTATCGTTGATGCCAATGCTGCCAAAAATAATTGCGGCAAGAAAGGAAGTATAATAGTAAATAACTAAGACTGATGTTTTAATTTAGATGAAAGGTTAATTTCATATAATACATTTTTATTATTATAATTTATATGGAAAAGGCTAAACATGACTGAATGAAAGCATAAGAGTAAATAACTATTTCAAATCATTATTATAATTTATATAAAAATTGCTAAACATAACTGAAAGGATGCCTGCATCGCTATTTCGCTACCGACTTATCGCTAAAGCATAATTTCATCTCGTTTCTTTGAAAACGCCCATGCAGCCAGCCCGTTCGCGGGATTCGAACCTCGGACCGAAGTACCAGTGTTTAGCGATTTTACCGCTAGGGGGCCCCTTGAGATATTGTAAGAGTTTTAAGGCTAATCTTTGGAATATGGTAACAGGTTAGTTTGGCGACATTTTGGTTAATGCGATAAAGGTTACTAGGTAGGACTTTAGCAATAATCTGAGAAGAACACAGTTCGAATCACAGATTATTTCTCAGAGAAATGAGAGATCATGAGACATGTCATGTGACATTTTCCGGAAAATTCCGATCGTGATTTTAGCTAATAAGCACTTAGAAACAATTTCGCTGCTAAAGTGCAGAATCGCTCACTTATTTGTTTGGCGCTTTTTACAAGGGTAAAAACAATTGAATTTTTGTCAATTTTATTTTACTTTTTAAATGAATATAGGTCGATGTGTACATACATAAAGTCAAGAGCATGCGAAGTGCCATTTTTGTGCAATTCTATTATTATTTTTTAAGTGAAAATAGGTCGATGTGCACATGGATACCAAGTATGTGCAATTCTTAAAAACGCGTCAAGCAGTGGGTGATTCTGCACTTTACCCAAAATTCTATTGCCAACTTTTCGTCTTGGGCAATTCCCAAATTGTTAAATCCATAGGATATCAAAAAAGGATTTAAAATTTAAATTAGTATTTCAATGGCGTCTTAAGAAATACAGAACTATATAAACTTACGCAATCTGAAATCAGAGCGTACGCTAGATTTGGCGCACTGTTAAATGGGCGCGTTTGCTAGATTTGGCGCTTTCGCGCGTAAATTTTCGCTGCAATTTTTTTACGGCCTCGAAACCGAATAGTACCATATTTTCTAATTAAAATTGTTCTTTCCTCTTTCCAGGATAGTATAATCTTTAATGAGCAAAATTAAATTTTTCAGTCTAAGCTGCATTTTAATAACTTTATTAAATAGTGATTATAGTAATATATTACGATTATCTTCCCAGAGATGTTATTAAATATGTATCGCCTACCTTTACATTCAGAAAAGGTCTCCTCCCATCCAATTTCTTCGAGACACAAGTTGAATTCATAACCCTGATATTCGAAGCCTGGCTCGCATGTGATCTCCACTTCATCATAGGGTAGGTAGAAATCCCCCTCTTTATCCCCGATGACTGATCCATGGGTAATGGAAGGAGGCGAACTACAGTGATCGCTCAAAGCTGAAATAGCATAGAATTAGCAGTCTTCTTTGATCGTTTTAAATTGTTCCGTCACAAATATTTAAATTAAGTAAATAAATTAAATAAAATAAATTAAAAAGTAAATAAATTAAATTTACTTAATATTAAATTAAGTAAAATCAAAATAATAACATTATTTTGATTTTGATTTTTTACGTTAAGAAAAAGCTTTCATTCCTATTACTAGTGTCGGATAAAAATAAAATAAATCTACTAATTGCGTGGAACTGGGCAATTGGTCTAAATTCAATAAATGCGTAACTTCAAAAGCAAATACAGATCAAAAGCAGATTCAAAAGCAAATTTTCAAATCTGTAACATTATAAGGTATTTCTCCCACTTCCCTAGCGTGCCTTCGTGCTGTAACGGTAGCACGCTGGGCCGGTATTCCAGAGGTCCGTGGTTCGATTCCCGGCGAAGGCGGTTGCATATTTTTTCATCTTTTCTGCTTCCAATAAACATAATGACTCTACAACATGAAAGTAAAGAGTAAGAAATCGTTCTTCTCGGGTACATTGGTATGAAAATCGAAACATATATTTCAATAAAAACGAAAGTTGGAATTTATTACCAAATTCCATAAATATGCTATCTCTATTATCTATTATCCATAATTATCTATTTTATTACAGTCTAAAATGGAATTCCTAAAATATATATCAAATTACAATGCATACTTATTTCAAAACTCTAGAAATAGTCACTCATTTATTTTTTTCAAACACATTAATTAATACGTGACCTCACAAAACACCACATAAAGAAATATATATATAATCAATCAGTCAATCAGTTCATAAAAATAACAATGATTCTGCACTTTCCTGTTTAACAAATTTCTGAAATTAAGAGACTGAATGTATCCAAGTCCCACATCATCATGAACCGCAATTAAGTTTTTATTTTATTAAAATTTATGTTATTATTAGAACTTGAGTTAGAAGTTCATTTCAACGCTACATCACAACCGGGCTTTTGTGTAGCGGTTCCGGCCACTACACTACAGTATTTTTTCACAGCCTTCCCACGCCGCAGCAGTAATCTAAACTATTCGGATAGACATCATCCTGACGCAGTTCTCCTTCCTCATGACATTTTTGAAATCATTCAATTGAAAATTCACTTCTCAAGAATGAATAATCACACTTTTAGTTCCAATAATTGCCATAATTCCAATAATTTACAGCCATAAGAACAAATAACGTTATTTCTAACTTTAACTTTAAAATTTATGTAAATTATCTGCTTTTCCATGCTGATGCCAGCCCGGTGGTTGATAGCATTAGCAACTTATTTTAAAAAATTTAAAAAGTTACCTTACATAATTTTTTAAATCATTCTTGTCTTAAAAGATGGTAAAGAGTTTGTTTCGTAACCAGTTAAAATTTCAAAACTTTATAGAAAGCGCACTTTTTTATAATGACATGTTCAACTAATAGACGTCAAAAAGCCGAAGAAATCGAACGATTTTTGAAAATTCAGCAAACAACCAAAAAATTATATTCAAAATTTCATATCAATTTCATTTAGGAGATATTTTGCCGCTCTATACGATAGAGAAAATAGTAATATTCTGGCATTATTATTTTGTTCGTGAAAGGAAGATATATGCGAAAAAATTGCTAAACTTGAACTTTTAAAAGAATGTAACTCAAAATTTTAACAAATAGCTTAACCATATTGTATTATCAGTCATAAGCAATTTGTATGCAAAATTTCAGCTCGATACCTTATTAGGAAATATTTGAAAATTCCATAAAAAACATTTTAGCCGTAACAAAAGCACACTATTAGTGAGCTAAATAAAAGCTAATAAAAACAATTAGAGGATTTCATCATTTGCCGCAGCTGTCAATACCACGGTTATGAGATAAACCAGTAGTACAAAATGACCCTGAAGTGAATATTCTAAAAAAGTCTATAACAGGCAATTTAATATGATATTGCACTCCAAATTAATTTCAAAATCTTCAAAATTTAGTTTATGGGACAGAAATTACTGTAATAACTTTTTTAGCAGCTAACTTTCTTATGTACTAAATAATTTAAAATATTATTGCGTGCGTACGTGTTCGTTACGAAATGAATGCAAAAGTCCGATGAAAAATGAACACAATTTTATTATTATCACAACAAATATGCTTAAATTTCCTCAAATATTCGTGCAGTATTACAATATCTCACAGTAGTTATCTTTTAACTACTCAAACGTTCAAGAGAACTGAATTCAAAACAGCTAGAGAAAGCTAAATCCGCGAATTCGCTACAATCAACAGGAGCCAGTTTTCTAAACAAACTCTTAAATCAACAACTAACTAACTCATCGAATTGAGAGGTTTTCCTCCTTTTTATAAGATTTTTGAATCGCGCGCGAGTAAATTTCTGGAACTTTCTCGAAATCAAAATGAGAGATATTTATTAAATGTTAAATGCACGCGCTCTTGTATTTCCAATTTTCCGGCTTAGCTTTCCTTCAATATTCGTCACGTGCTGCACTGCACGGGGAATAAAACAATTTAATTTATAGTTCAACTAACATTAGCTATTTAAGTACCAAATCTGTAACAATATTAACATTTATATATACACATAAATTACAGAAAATCATTTCAGAAAGAAGGAAGAACACTTACGTCGACAGAGTGGTCTTGGTGCACTCCAGTTACCAGTGGGCAAACAAACGAGAGTATCTATCCCAACCAATTCAAAACCTTCTTTACAGGAATACATCAGAACATCTCCGACGAAACAACAATTTCCTTTCCTTGCACCATCCACGGAGACTCCAGGATCAGGACACGACTTCTTCTCTATCAGAAGTAAAAATGCTAGTGCTCGACATTTCAAAAATCAACGTAAACTTACGAGCTTAAGTTCATTTTAAACTAATAAAATACGAGAATTAATTACAATGCGCCACAGTTTTATCGTGCTTACCTTAATGGCAAACGCACATGAGGGTTAAAAATTCGCTTACTTCACCAGAGTAGATCGAATTTTAATACCTACAAATTTGATTTATGAGTATCTGGTTTATTAACAGTTCGGAGTTGTTAAAATTTGTTAGTGATAAATGCTTCATTTTATTTAGGTAGGAAGTTGAAAGCAATGATAAAATTTTATTACAAGATATATTAGCTGAATGCTTATCGATTATACTTCTGAGGAATTGAAAGCAATTGAATATTAACCATACTTTCCATTCGTATATACTTTTACAAATTCAGGAATAAATCTACTAGTTTAAACTACTGAATTAACGTCAAAAAAATGATATAAAATGTAATGTTTATGAACAAAATAAACCAACATGAAATGAAACAGAAGCACATGCAATAAGCACACAACAAATTTCCGTAGTATTGCAATTGTAAAAACAGTAAAACCAGCATGACTATCTTGTGTAATGTTGTTTATGCCCCCCTTAGTCGCCAGTATTTCCTCCCACTCCAACGGTACACCATTGAGCATGCGCAGTAAGCGAAATTCGTTAACACTGATCAACTCAATGTGCAGTTTGCCATTACGCTTCCCTGATCAATTGCGGCTAACAAACCTAAAGTCAGTTCATGTCAATGCAGACGCTATACGAAACAGTAGAGAAACTGTCAACGATAGCTATCGCAAACTCTTTCTTATACTTAATAACTTTTAGCTTAAATATATTAACTAATTGGCCTCTTTGTATGACTGGTTGAACTTTCTGTACCGCCATTAGAGGCTAAACAGGGCTTAGTCGATCTATTTAATTAAAGAAACATTGAAATCTAAAACAAGGCCTAAATCAAGCCCATTAAGCAGTTTAACTACACCTTACTACCTGATATAATTTAAAATAGAATAAACAACTAAAATATGAACTTAAAGTCTAGAAGCTGGTGAGATTTACCAGCTATACCAACAAAAGCACATTATTACATACTTTGTAAAATATAACACACGTTACTTGCATGCATAAAAATACGTTACTTATATATACAAATATTTAGCATAACAGAATATCATAAACATTCTAGTTTTCCTTTAAACAGACAGGTAAATTTTAAAAACAATCAATATATAAATTAATTTCATTTACAGATATATATTTTATGAAATTTGTCAATTTAGTCACTGTATTTTTACATAGATCCTTTAGAGTATTAAATTTAGCAATATCTGGAATAAATCTTAGAACAATATTTTTCATAGAAGAGCATCTAAACAACAGGTATTCAATATCGATATTACTCATGCCACATAGACAGGCACAATTTTTAATGGAAAACCAAAATAATTATCCCACGCTTATCAGTATGGAATATGGAAGAAAAGCCTGTGATAAAGACTCCTGCATTAAATATGATAAATACTTTGTTATCTTCTGTACTGTTCATTTTCATAACCTTCTAGTCTGAACGAATACGTAGGACATGAACCGAGAGAATATAGTAGTGTTTAGCTTAAAGTAAAATTTAGTAAAGCCAAAGTAATTAGCACACGCTTATCAGTATAGAATATGGAAAAAAAGGATGTGATAAAGACTCCTGCATTAAATGTGATAAATACTTTGTTACATCAATTTAATTTATAGAATATGGGAAAAAAGCGTGTGATAAAGACTCCTGCATTAAATGTGATAAATACTTTGTTATATCAATTTAATTTATAGAATATGGAAGAAAAGCATGTGATAAAGACTCCTGCATTAAATATGATAAATACTTTGTTATCTTCTCTACTGTTCATTTTCATAACCTTCTAGTCTGAACGAATATGTAGGACATGAACCGAGAGAAGATAGTAGTGTTTAGCTTAAAGTAAAATTTAGTAAAGCCAAAATAATTATCATACGCTTATCAGTATAGAATATGGAAGAAAAGCGTGTGATAAAGACTCCTGCATTAAATATGATAAATACTTTGTTACATCAAATTAATTTAATGTATCTTACTTTTGCATCTCGGAGTTGGATTGCTCCAGTGAATGTCATTCGTCTTCAGATCCAATTCACATGTTAAAACGGCTGAAGTATCGTTTTCTATCTCGAACCCTGCATCACATGTATATGTAGCTGTTGATCCGATTACCTTCCTGCCATCCTCGCTTGTTTTCACTGTATATTTACCATTAGAGATAGACGGGGGCTCTTCACATTCCATCTCTGGTCAATCCCGAGAAACAGAAAAATGTGCAGTATAAAAAACCATGTCTTTTCCAGTACTGAAAGTTCTGTTACTTACTTTAAACATTCCAGAAATGTTAAATATACAGTTAAAAATGTACTTCTTCACCTCTATATTTCATTGAAAAACCTAAATCTCTGTAACTCCGAAAAAATATCAAGTGGCTCATAATTAGCGTTATTATTCAAATAGTGAATATTTTTTTTTCTTTTTAGGGTTTATAGTTAATACTAACGATATTATGATAAAAAGTTACACTAGCGGGTGAAAGAGGGTCTGTCACACTTAGCCGACGGGACACTTAACAGACACCAGTTAGCCGATAGGACATTTAGCCGACACGAACACTTAGCCGACAGGATATTCAGCCGACACGGACACTTAGCCGATGGGACATTTAGCCGACAAGAACACTTAGCCGACAGGCAATTTAACCGACACGGACAGTTAGCCGACAGGATATTTAGCCGACACGGACAGTTAGCCGACAAGGACACTTAGCCGATAGAACATTTAGCCGACACAATTAACATCAGGACATTTAGCTACGGGTCACTTAACTGTTAACGCATTTAGTCAACAGGACACTAAGCCGACAGAGACGTTTAGCTGACACGTACCCAATAATTATTTAAACTTACTGTCAATTATAAAATTTCTCGACTTATCCATAAGTTCAATATTTAAGTTATTTTTTTTTCATCTATCAGTAAAATTCATTTTTCGATTATTAAAGATCTAATATGTGCTTTTAATTCTTTTGTAATTTAGCATTTTTTTTTTTTTTATATGTACTATTTGGTGCATGTTGGCCAAATTGAAAAAGCAGTGAAATTTCTCTTTAGGGAATATGAATTAAATTTCGAAAGGAAAAAAGGGTTTTTTTTTCCTAAGTACTCTTTTTAAGTGGATGAATTGTGACAAACAATGGCTCTCTTCAAGAAAATATATGGAAAAGGCATATTTTTTCTCCTCTTGGGATTTTCAAAATGAATGTGGATGCACGAACCATACAACAGCTTCAAACTGGTACTCGGACAGCAATTCACGATACATTGCATTTAATTTTATAATGGCAAAAAATAAATAATATTGAAATAAAATACTACTCATTGTTTTAATTATATTGTTAATTATCTGTCACTTCCTATTAAAAAATATTTTGTCAAACATTTTCAGAGCAATAACATACAAAATCATGACAGTATCTATTTGCATTCCTTCTGTATTGAACTGTGATACTAAAAATCTTGAATAAGGCTATAGATCTAAAGGAAATATTACCGGTCAAAAATAAAACAGGATCCATTAACAAAGAAAGTGGCCATATGAAGAAAATATTTCGTGGAACTCGAATACTAAGAACTTACAAATGAGCTTCGATTCCGAAAATGAAACATTTATTTAGAAACTTCAGTTACATCTTATTAACTGGATTATTTATTATTTTTCGACATAATCACCCCCGTTATCCAAACATTTGTTAAGTCGATGCACAAGCTTTGAGAGTCACAACTTCATAAAGAGTTGTCATTGACACTTCCGGTATGATCTGATGAAATTCTTTCAATTTGAGACGTCTATTCGCACGAATTGCTTCCTCTGTTCTCTGAAGAAGAGCATCCGAGATCACAGATGGCAAGATCACGTATGACGGAGCGCACTTCGCATTTGGCGGGATTCTGAATCGGGGCAACCATTTTAAACACGACCTACTCCAACCAGAATCAACGTTGAAATGCCGATCGACCGCGATGAGAAAGCTAACGGTTTAAGGTTAACACCTGTGTTGCCAACTTGCTCACCAAAACTTTTCTTTTCCTTGGCGTACGGTATATCTTTACTTTTCGAAATGCCCTCGTATTTCGCGGAACTAATACTACTCGTGAAAGTCCGCTCTTTAGTACTCTGACCTATCCATATCATGCACATCTACCGCAAAATTGAAAACTCATTTATTCATCGGATTGTCATAAAATTAAAAATAATATTAATAAACCAGTTATAAAGTGGACTCTAACCTCTTTAACTTGACGCTTCTGAAATCATCGAATATAAGAAGTGTGTCATAGACAAGAACTTACAAAGAGCTTGATTCCGAAAATGAAAATATTTCTCATTATAATTTAGCATACAGAAAGTTGATGTTATCCTAATTCGAGTTACAGTCTTTTTTTTTAATTTGAAGAAATTTGACAACTCAAAAAGTACAGCTGAAATCCATTTAGTTAACTAAAAGCTAATTTAGTTGACTAAAAGCTGTTCGCCTTGGCAAAGCACAGCAAAGCTATTCTAAATATATTAAGTTTCGAAATATGATCATGTTTACAATATATAACTTAGTATAGAATTTAACAAAAGGTATTCGAGTTCCAGTTAATGAAATCAATCTTTATACCTTACACCCGAATCGGAAGTGGATGAAATAAAGTTTTTTTCCAGGACTTGAGTAGATTCATATTGTAATATTATTAATGGAATGAAATTGCTTCCAATCAAATTGTTATCCTGATGGGTGCAATGGAACTGCCTCTAACCAACTATAATCTTGAGGAGATGAAAACAATTTAGTCTTTATCAAGCTGCGTTTTTACTTCCTTGTACGAAGTAAAAAGGAAGTATTGTAATCGTGAAAGGTTTCAGGCAGCATATTTGAACGAAAATATCCATTTTGACCGCTATCGAATGCAATTTAACGATGTATTTGCATGATATCTGTACGTAAGAGCAAAATAAAAGACTCTTTTCCTCCAAAAAATTATAAAACTGCTTTAAAATGAATTCTGAAGAGAAATTTTTGTGGCGTCTGTACGAACGTATGTACGTACGTATCTCGCATAACTCAAAAACGAGTAGCTTCAGAACGTTAAAATTTTGTATATAGGACTGCTATAACATGTAGACGTGCACCTCGTATTTTGGTTGCAACCGGCCGCATCAAACGTATATAAATATATTATATATATAATATTCCCTCTATTATATATTTCTTTATTCTTATATGTTTGTAAATTGTACATTTTTTTCTTAAAAATGATTAAATTATTGTTCTTATCTCCGATTAAGGTTTTATGCTTTTAAATCTGTATGCAATATTTTTAGAATTATCAACAATTTTAAAGTTGTTTAAGTGCCGCTAAGCCTAATATTTTTTTTTTTTTTTTTGGATGGCGGCTATTGCTTGTTTACATTTGAAACAGCAGAATAGTGGATTTCTTGCAAATCTAGAGAAACTTAGTTTTGCAACAACAAAGATAACGCCTTCATTCATTACTGCGAATTAAATCATGCTTAATCCTTTCTGGAATTTTCTCGAGGAAATAAGTGTTTAATATTCCGTACAAGGAAGTCATGTGGTGTACACATCAGATTTTTTATTGCTAGAATGATAAATCAAACAGTGCTACTTCTTACTTTCATATCGAATTAAATTGTTTAAAAGTAAACAATTAATTAAATAATTTAAACAATTTCCAATTCACGAGTATGCGAGAAGTATTAATTAATTCATTCATTGCATGAATACGTTCTTTAAGGTCGTAAGTCAGAAAATATGTCTGCTTTAGTTCACTTGTCGTTTTCGCAGCCGCTTTATATATGTGCCACAAAATCACAAAGATTTCATTCGCAAATAAATCTACTTACTGACACACTGCGGGACTTGCGCCGTCCATTCGCCATTTTCGCAGAGTATTACTCTTGGTCCTACCCTCGTATATCCACGATTGCATCTGAAGCGCAAAATGTGTGCTTCCTGGACCTGAGTGGACTTCAAGTCTCTTCGTCTGTGGTACCGGATGCTGCCGTTGGGAATTGTCCTCTTCGGAATGATGCAAGCTGTAGCAGATATGATGCAGTTCAGGCATAGCGTTTTGAAAACAGAGAAACTTTTAATGAGAGATTATTGACAACATCTCTTAATGAGAGATTATTGACAGCATCTCTTAATGAGAGATTATTGACAGCATCTCTTAATGAGAGATCATTGACAACATCTCTCAATTAGAGATTATTGACAAAATCTCTTAATGATAGATTATTGACAACATCTCTTAATGAGAGATTATTGACAACATCTCTTGATGAGAGATTATTGAACATATCTCTTAATGAGAGATTATTGACAACATCTCTCAATGAGAGATTATTGACATCTCACAATGAGAGATTATTGACAGCATCTCTTAATGAGAGATTATTGACAACATCTCTTAATGAGAGATTATTGACAACATCTCTTAATGAGAGATTATGGCGACAAACTTTGATTCATAATATCTTTACACTTTGCGCTACACAAGTATACAATGAAAACACAGATATTACGTATCGTAATTTTACTGTTAATTCTAAAACGGCAAACTAATCAGTCTGGAACTCAGATCGCTGATTTCTAAATTCGACACTAGGAACCAGAACCTTAAAATGTCAAAATGAGTTCCGAAAATAAATTACTAATATCCAGTAAGTCATTGCCATTAAACAGCCGCTATGATGAATGATATTATGTTACTAAATATTGAGGTATAAAATTATCTCCTACTAACAGAACATCTTAAGAGTCTCGGAGTGCAAAGAGTTACATTTTTAAAATATGGTAAGAATATCATTCCCAAAGTCGTATGAGAAACATATGCTTAGAAAAATTAAGTTAAAGAAATGGCAAGCTGAATGAGGAAATGTAGAAGAAAGAAACCCGCATATGATTCAATCTCATACATCTTTTCATCTGGGCATAGTCCTTTTCCCACACACTACTTTGCAGGAAATCTGAGCGACTCAGACAAGTTCATATGTGGAGAAAAGGGAGATCCAGAGTACGTTATTTTCAAGTGCCAGCGTATAAAAGAGCTACACTGCAAAGAAAGGACACAAACTACGCCGCAGTACATTAAATGCTTACTAACGATCCCTCAATAATAACAAATATTTCTTTGATTATGAAGAAAGTTTTCTCATATAAAAGAGAAGATATATTTCAAGACGCTATCGTGTTCGTTTAAATACCTTATACAGTACAAAGTCTGTAATCCGGACGTCCAATATCCGGAATAGTCTAAAATCGGGACCTCAAAGCCACAAACTTTACGCATGCGCGCAATGTATGCTTTACGCATGCGCGCGTTGAAAGAAATGTTTAATAAAGTAAACAAATAAATATTAAGCTTTTTCTTTTGTAAAATTTGATACCCTTTAGATCATAATTGCTCTTTGTTTCATAAATTACGGTTTCATGTTTTTAATTGTATAATTTCTGCATGCTATCTTAGCAGATTTAAATTGATGATCTATAATCCGGAAAAACCCCTAATCCGGAATCGCCGAAGTCCCGACGAGTCCGGATTACGGACTTTGTATTGTATCCCATAATTTACAAAAAATAATGAAAGTTCAGAAAATTTTACAAATGCCTGTAACAGGCTAAATATGGCTGGCTTCTGATGCGGGCCAAACGAACACACAACGGGAACAGTAGTGCGGCGGAGCAATTACCTGTAAAAGTCACTGACGAAGTACTGGTACTCCGTCCACTTTTCCTTGCTCCAGTCTCTGTACCCGGCACTTATTGTAATTTTCCACATTTTGCTTCATTTCATTTTGTGGCTGCTATGAAGGATAAGGTTGTCCATCATTTGCAATTGCCCAACAGTGTATTTGGGAAAGTTTTAGACTCGTTATAAAAAAAAATAATAATAATAAAAAGTTTGACTCTCGTACAATAAAAATCGACCAGAATATTTCATTTCTGTTTTCCAGTCGCTGATGCCGTACTGAACTTGCCTTGAGGGATCGGTTATTCAAGTTAAGATGTATAGAAGAAACAAGTTTTAATGAAATGCAGCAAAAAATATGTGTAATTAAATAAGCCGTATAAGGAAATTATGCGGTTTCCACATCAGATGTCTTTGACATAAGAACCGTAATCCTAATAATTTAACTAATCAATAATTGTTCATTGGAAATACTAAGGTAACAAAAATCAGAGCAATGTTCAAAAATTTGCAGCACTAGTTTCGAAGTTTTAAATTTAGAAACTTCTTCTTCAGCCTTTTTACGCGTTTATGAGCAAATAAATGACTATTATGCTGATTCTTGTTGCGTCAGCACCTTTAAAACCCCTTAACTGACGATTTAGATTCGAAGATGTTGGGCCGAAATTGTATACAAGCTCGCGCTGCGTTCGGGACATTTGCCCGACTTGTGTAACACGCTAATCCGGGCAATCGTAAAAATGACGAATTATGTAATTTAATTTAAATATGTAATTCGAAGAAAGTATAGGCGAATAATTATGGATGATACATCCGATAACGATCAACCAGAGGCTTTGGAAAGAAATAAGAAATAGTTCAAATATCTGGGACTATACGATGATTCCTGGCATAGGAGAGAAAGCCTTATGTCAATTAGGAAGAAGTAGAGGAGAATTTGATATATTTAATCTGATATTTGATGACATATTTTGGAACAATATTGTAACCGAAACTAATCAGTATGTAGATCAAGTACTAGAAAATCCACATAGAACACGAGTGTAAAAAGTGTAAACTTCCGTTACATGTACCAAAATGCTTTGAAATATATCATGCCGTTACAGACTACTAATTTTGTATTTTCGAGTTTTGTATATATAAACATTTCGTAATACTTGCGTCTACCACAATTATTGCATCAGACTGTAATTGCGTATCAAATATTCCACGTAATATTCACTTCTGGCCCGACCATCGTACGCGGGCTATGCCCGTCATTGTAGATTAAGGAGTTAAAAATCGTTATTCAGCGTGCTGTTTTAACTCAGTTGATCAATAATTTTTCAAAGGTTTCTGAACTAACCAGATAAACTACAGATTTGTTACTTACAGGGACAAATAATGACACACCAAGTAAACTAATTTATCTGCCTGAATGATGTACATGCTTACTCTTAGACCTACGTGAGGTGTTTCAAGATCAAAGAACATTTATCAAAATATAGTTCCTACTACACATTTAGCACACGACAGTGCTTTAATCTTGGCAGGTGGTTTTCCACTGCACTTGTATTTTCGTTGCATTGTACTGTTCCCCGCCCTTTCATCTGTTAGCTAAGTGTTGAGGAACCTAGTGAACTACTAAGCGAATAATCGTTCAAATCCAAACTCAAGAAGAGTTAATTACCCTTTATTGCTCAAAATAAAGATTCACAAATGGATCGTTTCTCAGGACGTACGACAAAGCCTCCACTTGGGCTCAAAAAGAGAAAGAAATAAGAACATAACTAATGACTAACTAAAGAGATTTAGCCGAAGCTAACACAATTTCTAAACCAGTGGGCCCTTAATATTAAATTAGCTAGTGAAGCTATCAAGAGCACTTAATACGGCCGAGCGTAGTAAGAGCTTAGAGAGATGTCGCCAAAAAGGCAAACGCGCGTTATTCAGGAATTCTAATTCTCTCTCTCGAAGTCTTAGGTCTTAGTTTATATTCATAAAAGGATTGTAGGACCCAGAGGTCTTTATCACTCTATTTTGTACTTTTGGAATTCTAAATGAAAAAAAAAAAAAATCGAAATCCAGAAATTTCGAATAACTGTATACAGCCGTGTTGCATCTCCAAGTAACTCTCGAACTTTCATACTAATCCGCTATTCATTATGCATTTACGCGATTCTTGAAACTCATTCTGGTAAGGAATTGTATGATGAAGCTAGAAGAGATAGGAAAGTGCTATCAACTTAAAATAAGTGTTATAAAACTGGGATATGCCTTTCGACATAACAGCATTTCTAACAGCATATCATAAAAGAGTTATTTTCTATTTGAATTGGTCAGTAAAGTATACAAAAACTCTGAAACAGACGTGACTTGAATCTGCATTCCTTCGCGCCTGCGAAATGTCTCCTCGCTAATGTATCGCTACTTGTATACACTGGTACATCTAAATTTTTCCGAGGTCACATATAAGAAATTATTTGGCAATAAATTTCTTTTCTAAACTTGTAATGGCAATACTAAATGAATTTTAAAACTTCGTTAGTGTAACCATTTGCTGGTCTTTTTTATTATTTATTGAATGAATGATGTGCTAGATTTTTCTAAAATGTTTAAAACTGAATATACATTCTGTGATTAAATTTTCAGTTAGAAGAGATATTACTCTCAAAGAAGTCAAACAACATGTGATTCGTACGGTGATTTTTTTTTTTTTTTTTTTTTTTTTTTTTTTGTTGTTGTTGTTGTTGTATAGTCGAAGAATGTGTAAAACAATGTCGAATAGCCGATTATCCGTTCAAACGGATTCTCGTGAAGGTTAATTATTAGACTCATTATCATCCAAAAGTACTGCTTGTGTCTAGAAGGAAATATTTAGAGATAAAAGATTCAGAGTCTAAAATAACTGTTTTGAGCCATCTTCATGAAGATCTCAGCAAGGAAAAGTCTCCACACGATGGGTACCCCAGACTTTTGTAAGAATTCAAAAGCAGTGAAATGGCGTTTTCTATGAACAGTGTTTTGCAATTTTACAATGAGAGCAAGAGAACTGTTCTACAGGTCCATTGTAACTGGTTATTAAGCAATGGTCCTATGTTATGATCCCCAATCGAAATGGGAATCTGGAGTACAAGAAACCTGGTGAAGCTCTACGAATAAAGGAAAAGTTTCAGTAATCAATAAAACCGATAATGGCAACCATTCTGGGGAATATCCAGGAATCTTCCTGGTAAATTTTAAAGAAGAACGACAAACATTATTGGAGATAATTATGCAGAACTTTTGCATAAATTACTTAATGAAATTAAAGAGAAAAGGCATCGTTTCTGAGCACCGAATTCCTCTTCTCCATGATAACATTCCTGCAAATTAAGTTGTCATTTCCAAAGAGATGTAAAGAATGTGGGTTGAAGGATCTTCATTATCCCCCTTGCTGCCCAGATTTTGCTTCAAGAGATTATTAGCTATTCTCGAAATTAAAATCTGATCTTCATGGAAAAATTGTTGTTCAAGAGATGTGGAAAACGCATCGAAGTACAATTGGATTATATTGAAAAATAAATTATTAAAACTTTCTGTACTTCCCCACAAAAATATATCAGGGCAAAACCTTTTGGACCTGCCTATGTCTGTATTCCTTCCTGCCTGTATATTTCTGCATACAACTAGTAAATACACAAAAAATTTCATGCTCGTTGTCATGAAAGATTTTAACTAAATAATTCGCGTATATAATGCCATAAGTTAATATCACCATTGTAAAATAAAACAATATATTAAAGAACAGAAGAGAAAAAGCATTTTCTTTTATACAAAACAATTAAAAAATCGCGTAATTTTAATTCAAAATATAAATGAAGTTTATCATTGCAAAGTTCTTACGGAATTAAATATAAAGTCATACCGCTTAAGGCCATGTGCAGCAGAACTATGCCCACACAGATCTCAAACACCAAGTGATGCATACGTTCTTGCGACATTATAACTCCACCTAAAAAAAATTTCGAGAAATTAAATATTTTAGAAATATGTATTTAAATATTGCACTGTAGTGAAATATCAAGCATATATTTTTATAGTGAACTTTTTATATTTTTAACCCATGGTAAGAAAGAAACTGCATTATATTGCTACGAAATGTACAGACGCTGTACGATGGCTTCCCCGCAAAGTAGTGTTAGGGTTGCCATAAAATGGCAAAGAAAAGCAGAGTTGCCACATTTGGCGAAAAATCGTCCCTCTGGCGACATTTGGCAATGAAATTGGCGATTTGCCTGTACATTTACCGCGCCTGTACATTTCGTAACAATATTTTTTCCCTGAAAAATAACAGTATTGAATAATCGCATGGAATATTTGGAAAAACTTTGGTACTTTTCCGTTTCGCCGGCGCAAATCTCGCCAAGCAGACTTTATTGGCGACAACATACACTATACACATGAAAAATATTAAAAACATTTTAGTTCTAAGAATTCTTTTTTTAAAGGCATAAACATTTTAATATCGCTTAAAATTTTATAAAAAGCCAATAAATAAAGACAATAAATTTGTAAAAAGACATTAATTAAGAATTTACTATGCTTTCATGGTTCAACATCCTGATTTGCCGGTTCATATCACGTGACCCCAAGCGATCTTATTTCACGTAAACTACTCTACAAAAATCTAATGCTCTCAATAATTATCTACATTAATTTCAAGTTAAATCTTAATTTGGAACACAAGTTTAAATGCAAGCAATATTTCAATGCTTACGAATAGCTTACTCAGAAATTATATAAAACTGCAGTGCTTTACTTCGCTAAAGCATTCTCATTAGAATTGATGAATTTAAGCCTTGACTTTATCTTTTCTATATTTTCGGCTTCGGGTAAGCGCTGTGATTGCATCCTAATTGACTTAATTACCGAAAATGGCCTTAGACATTAAACTGAACTATCTGACAAAAATTCTATGAAATTAAATGCCAGTATTGAAAGAAACAATCAATCTGATAAGATAAAGCTGCGACTTGTGTTGAAAATGAGGCGTAAAAGGTTACCAGCGAGAATATTCCGTTTGGCATCGGTTGTACCATTACTGGCGACTTTATCGCTTGCGCCGGCAAAACGGAAAAGTACCAAAACTTTTAATAATGAATGAAACTCTCACACTTATTTTTCATCAGTCATACCTTTATTTTGCAAGTAAGAGTAAGTAACAAAATTTCTCTAAAAAAACTTGAATTCTTGAGTTACACCTTAGTCAAAATGTACGAAGTTGTATTCTTCGTACGCAATTAAAATTGATGTTACATTAAAATGCGATAAACGCTTGGATAAGATACAGAAAAGGGAATGCTACTTAATTACGAAAACCATAATTTTATAAAGTTGCAAGAAATTTAACATGAAAAAAAAAAAGGCAAATAACATGAATATAATAAAATACTGAAATAAAATTCAAATTAAAACAAAACAAATAAATAACAAAAGCTGACAATTCTTTGATCTTTGTCGTGGGGACTCAAGGAAATCGGAACTATAACTGGATGAACTGTGGTAAAGGAAGCGTAAAAGAACAATAAAAGAAGAGAGAAACAAGTCGCATGATGACAAATATTAGGATCGGTGCTAGTTTGGTAGACGGTTGCACGGATTTTGGTGATTTTCTTTTGGCGAGTAATACGAATTATGGTAAATCCATTGCTAGATAAGTTATTTATGGTAACCGATACTTTGTTGTCATTTTATTTAAAAAATAATGCGTTTTATTATGCTTAAATTCCGTGTTTTAAATATTATTTATGGCTTTCTAAATATTAAAAATCAATTTAATTTGCGTTTTATTTGAAATAAAAATTTTTTGTTTATGGTATTTTATGAAATTTTATGTTGTGGATGATGTAATCAATGACTCACCTTACTTTAAAAGTAATCGGTTTTAATATCTATAAATTTAATCCCATGTTTTAAAACATTATTTATGGCTGTTAAATATTAAAATACAATTTAATTTTACATTTTTAAAACGATTTTATTATGTATGATTATTTAAATAATTTTAATTCTAGACGTGATGTAATCAGCTCTCTGATTGGGTTTATGGAATATTTGTTGCATTAATTAACGAGCTGTAATCAGCTCCCTGATTGATTACTGAAAATTTGTGCATTACCGCGCCATTTTAAAATTTAATTCATATCTTCGAATTCCTTCAAAAATGTCTCTTTCAAAAATGAATGTTGTTCTTGGTAAGTACCAAGAATTATTGGTATCGGAATCAAAAAATTGTCCTTTGAGACCTTATTTTGGCCAGCCTGTCTTTCCTAATCAAAGATTTATTTATAAATTGTTACAAGGGTCAGAGGAAATCTATTTTAAATTTTTGGAGGAAACCTCGCTAATTGCTTCTTCATTGAAGTGCTAAAATGTAAATCACAGATGAAGATCGTTAGAAGAGCCGATTCTGAGGACGGCCGTATATGGTATTGCGGTCATGTTGGAAGATATAACCGCAGTAACAGTAAGAAAAGTATTAGACATTCCTCCTTTTTTACCGACAATAAACGAATTGCTGTTATTTTAGCTCTAGTGTACGAAGCGTTCTTATTTACTTATTTTAAAGTATTTAATTTAAGTAATATTATAATTCTTTTAAAGGTAGGTATGATGGTTTTTAATTCGATATTCAATTTACGTAATATTTTAATCCAATTAAACGTTGGCGCAAAGTTTTTATAGCGGTTTTTTTATTCTATGTCTGTGCTATATGAAAGGAATAATTTAACATTTCTTTAGTATTTTATACTCGTAGTAAACGTATTTATTTACATTTGCCTACCATCTTAGAAAACAACGTTTTCAACCAAAAATTAATCCATTGTTTTTAATAATAATAATAATAATTATTATTATTATTATTATTATTAAACAGAAGTTTTGTTTTTAACGAAAACTTAGCATTAAAGCTATATATAAGAGCTCATCAAGATCTAACCTGTGTCGATATGACGCGAGAGCAAAATATGTATTTTACGTCTTGAAATCAATTATAAAGCATAAATACACAGGTGTGTGTGTGATTATGGCAAAGCCTCGAGGGCTCTCTGTCTAAGGGGAGGGATGCCTTCGTGGAGGACTTTCTAAGGGGAACTGGCTCGTATACACGTTACACATGGGGAAAACCACGAAAACGCCAATGCAGCCAGCCCGTTCGCGGGATTCGAACCTTGGAGCGAACTACCAGTGATCAGCGTCATTACCGCTCGGCTGCTGGTGAGCCATAAATACACAGGTAAGATGAGTAAACACAGGGTTGCCAATAAAGAGCGAAATTTTAAAGCACCCAAATTTTTCGTGAAATATTTATTACCAGAATTTTCTTTTGCAGAATTGAGTTGAGTAAATTATGTCATTTTATGTTTTAAAAATAACGCCGCTCAAGTGAGAGCCATTTTTTCTCCAAACACTTTTCTAATTTTGATCGAAATTACTATTATGTCAATGACTAATTTCTGACTGTGCAATTTCTTGTCTGGTATTCGTTTTGAATGGTTTACGGTCCATCAGTGCATAACCTACTGTCCGGAAATCCTCAGAGAAACAAGTCGCATGATGACAAATATTAGGATCGGTGCTAGTTTGGTAGACGGTTGCACGGATTTTGGTGATTTTTCTTTTGGCGAGTAATACGAATTATGGTAAATCCATTGCTAGATAAGTTATTTATGGTAACCGATACTTTGTTGTCATTTTATTTAAAAAATAATGCGTTTTATTATGCTTAAATTCCGTGTTTTAAATATTATTTATGGCTTCTAAATATTAAAAATCAATTTAATTTTGCGTTTTTATTTGAAATAAAAATTTTATTGTTTATGGTATTTTATGAAATTTTATGTTGTGGATGATGTAATCAATGACGTCACCTTACTTTAAAAGTAATCGGTTTTAATATCTATAAATTTAATCCAATGTTTTAAACATTATTTATGGCTGTTAAATATTAAAATACAATTTAATTTTACATTTTTAAAACGATTTTATTATGTATGATTATTTAAATAATTTTAATTCTAGACGTGATGTAATCAGCTCTCTGATTTGGTTATGGAATATTTGTGCATTAACGAGCTGTAATCAGCTCCCTGATTGATTACTGAAAATTTGTGCATTACCGCGCCATTTTAAAATTTAATTCATATCTTCGAATTCCTTCAAAAATGTCTCTTTCAAAAATGAATGTTGTTCTTGGTAAGTACCAAGAATTATTGGTATCGGAATCAAAAAATTGTCCTTTGAGACCTTATTTTGGCCAGCCTGTCTTTCCTAATCAAAGATTTATTTATAAATTCTTACAAGGGTCAGAGGAAATTTATTTAAAAATTTTTGGAGGAAACCTCGCTAATTGCTTCTTTAATGAAGTGCGAAAATGTAAATCACAGATGAAGATCGTTAGAAGATCCGATTCTGACGACGGCCGTATATGGTAGTGTGGTCATGTTGGAAGAAATAACCGCTGTAACTGTAAGAAAAGTATTAGACATTCCTCCTTTTTTTTTTTTTTTTACCGACAATAAACTAATTGCTGTTCATTTTAGCTCTAGTGTACGAAGCGTTCTTATTTACTTATTTTAAAGTATTTAATTTAAGTAATATTATAATTCTTTTAAAGGTAGGTATGATGGTTTTTTAATTCGATATTCAATTTACGTAATATTTTAATCCAATTAAACGCCAAGTTGGCGCATAATGTTTTTATCAAGCCAATGTTTTTATTCTATGTTCTGTGCTATATGAAAGGTAATAATTTAACATTTCTTTAGTATTTTATACTCGTAGTAAACGTATTTATTTACATTTGCCTACCATCTTAGAAAAACAACGTTGTTTTCAACAAAAAATTAATCCATTGTTTTTATAATAAAATAATAATAATAATAATTATTATTATTAGTTTCAAATACTTTACTATGCGCAAAATAACGTAAAAACGGGGTTTTTCAAGAT